ACTATAATTTTTTTTTTCAATTCAAATATATATTAATCTTCTTTTAATATGACACAAATCATATTAAATGATAACTTTATTCTCGGTCCATAGATTGAGTCCCACGGCAGGCCCAATCATCTCAGTTATCCTACACGTACTGACCATCTATTAGGATTCCACAGAAGCAGGGAAAGTCCATCTGTTATGTTAATCCACTCTTGATTCTTCTATAATGTAGGTCACCCTCTCTAGGTACACACCTTTTCAACCCTAATAGCATCCTTTACTCTGTTCACACACACTCAATTGACACTAAATCTCTGGACTATGTATATTCTGTCCCACCATATAACAACTTTCAGTCCATCCTCTCATATCGAACAAACTTACATGCTGCGTGATATCAAATTTAAATTTTATGCACTTTAGGGTAAAAAATATATTTACAACTAATAATCATTTAATGAGTTTTGACATCTTATATAAATTTTAATATAGTCACGCTCATCAAATGAAATTAAAATGTAAACACAAAATTAGATAACAGTATAACAAATTTATGTTGACAATTACCCAAAATTAAACTCTAATATTATGTTAGAGTGATTTCTGTTTTTTTTTTTTTTTTTAAAAAACAGACTTAAATAAAAAAATTTCTATATGTTTTCGAGATTTGATAATTGAATAATAAATGTAAGAGTGAAGTATCTTTTGAGTGCTCAACAAATATCACGATACCCAATTTAATTCCTTAGAAAAAAAAAGTCGATTCGTAGTCTTTCTGAAATTCAAAATAAACTCATGTTAGTCCTTTTGAGGTATTAACATGGGTCTTCTTTGAATTTTAGATAGATCACGATTTTGACTAATTGAGTCTATTTTGAAATTAAGAGGGATCACAAATCAACTTTTTTTTTCTAAAAGATTAAAATGAGCCCCATGATTTCTGTTGAAAACCCAAAGAATACTTTACTCGAAATCTTTTATGATATAATTAATGGGTGTGATGTTTGTCATTTTAAATGACATAAGTTATGTCATTTTAGGAGAGAGATAGACACATGGAATGGAAATCATGGAAGAGAGAAAGTGGGTGGTTTTTTTAATTTAAATTTTAAATAAAAAAATAAAATTATGTGTCTATCTCTCTCTTAAAATGACGTAAGTTTATGTCATTTAAAATGACAAACACTTTTCCCATAATTGTTTATATAAATCCAAACAGATTACTCACGTTTTCTTATTCCCAAAAACCATAAATTATTTTTGCGGTATTGCTTTATAAAGAAAAAAACTAAACTGTTATTACAAGAAAAAAAAAAACTAAACTGTTCGTCCTACAGAACTGCAAGCTAAAATGGGCCGATCAATTGCCAAAAAAAAAAAACAAATGGGCCGATAAAAATTTACTTTTCATACAATGTCCATCATTTTATTGCCTGTCCATTTTTTGGGAAGCCACAACCTAACGGCCTTCATCAATTGCGGGTATTACTGTATTAGTGTAATGGGATTAGATACGAAGTGTCTAGTAATTAGTTAAACTTTTAAAATTTAAAATTAATTCTTAAATAATCGTTTGAAAACTGCTTTTTTCTCTCTTCCAACTATAATTATGCTGTCTCTCTTCCTTTGGCTTTATATTCTTCTTTTCTCTCTCTTTCTTCTAAATTCAAAGATAGTTGTTGAATAACAATCATTTATCCAATGTTTAATAAATATGTTAAGGTCTTTGAATTTAAATAAATTCAAAATTATATATATATATATATATATGTCAGAATCATTTTACACCGGTATAAGTTACACTCTCAATCTTGATTGTTAATCTCACTTATATTTAACGGCTTAATTTTTTAGTTATGTGAGCCATTGAATACAAGTGAATTAATGATCAAGATTAGGGGTGTGCATGGGTCAAGTCGGGTCAGGTTTTTGTGCCGACTCGACCCAACTTGGTTTTTATAGGTTAGGTATTTTGACCCGACTCGCTTTAATTTGATCCAAGTCAGGTCTAACTTAGTTTGGATTTTTTTGAACTAGTTCAGAACCGGGTCGGATCTGACCTGACTTGATTTCTGAAGTGGGTCTGATTTGGTTTTGGAAGTGGGTCAAATCTGACCTGACCAATTTTATTTATGTACTTTTCACAATACTAAAAAAGATCATATTTACCAAATGGTGGTAGCTCAGTTGGCGCATAGGAGCTGAGCAAGTGGAGGTGAGGGAATGTGTTCGAACCTCCCCAGTACCACCTTTGGGAGGGGTTTAAAGCCTTAATCCTGGACCTGCCCCGAATCGGACTAATCGCGAAGCGATGAACCGATGGAATATTTCAAAAAAAAAAAGATCATATTTTCGATGGAATTTCTACGTTGCAAATGACGAAAATTTCATCACAAAATTATTTTTTTGTCGGAATACTTTTTGTCGAAAAGTGTCGAAATTTTTTCTCTAATGAAAATTTCTACAAAAATAAATTTTCTATCGAAATTTTCGACGAAATTAAGTTTATGTCAAAAGTTTTGACTACAATGATTTCGCCTATCAAATGTTTTAAACGAAAAAAGATTCTGTCAAAAATTTTGACGGAATGTTTTTCATTCAAAATTTCGATGTGAAAGTGTTTTGATGAAAATTTCGACGAAAATTGTTTTGAGGGAAATGTTTCATTCGAAACTTTCGACGAAATTTAGATTCTCTAAGAAATTTTGACAGAATATTTTTTCCGTCAAAATTTTTTATCGAAATATTTTTTGTCAAAAATTTTTACGAAATTTCTTGACAGAAATGTGTTCCGTTGAAAATTTTGATGGAAATATTTTTTTATCAAAAAACTTGACGAAAATATTTAGTCGAAAATTTTCGATAGAAATGTGTTTCGCTAAAAATTTTGACGATTTTTTTTTTTGTCAAAAAGTTTAACGAAAATGTTTTCGTCTAAAACTTTCGTCGAAATTTGAATTTTGTACAGAATTTTGACGAAATTTATTTCCGTCAAATTTTTTTAATGGGAATGTGTTTCGTCGAAATTTTTGATGAATATGTTTTTTTGTGAAATATTTTACATAATTTAGATTTCGTAAAAAAATTTGACACAAAAATTTTTCCGTCAATTTTTTTTACAGAAATGTTTTTAGTCACAAATTTTTATGAAAATATTTTTCGTCAAAAAATTTTGCGAAAAATTTTGATGGAAAAACTTTATGTAATTTTTTTTGATGTGATTGTTTTACGTTAAAACTTTTCTTTTAACGTAATTATGATTTTTTTCTTTTTTTTCACATAATAAGTGTGGGTCAAGTTTTGGGTCAATGGATCATTATTAAAACAAGTCAGGTCTAAAACTGACTCAATAAAAGTGGGTCAGTATTTACATCTAGTTAAAAAAAAATAGGTATTTATGGGTCAGATCAAGGGCAGGACAAGTGAACAAGTTTTTTTGCACACCCCTATTCAAGATTGAAAACGTAACTTATACCGATGTAAAATGATCTTATATATATATATATATATATATATATATATATATATATATATATATATATATATATATATATATATATATATAAAAAGTGTTTGTTATTTTAAATGACAGAAAGTTATGTCATTTTAAGAGAGATACTGACACAAAAAATTTAAATTTTAAATTAAAAAAAACCACCAACTTTCTCTCTCCTATGATTTCCATTTTTCTGTGTCTACCTCTCTCCTAAAATGACATAACTTATGTGATTTAAAATGACAAACACCAAACCCTATATGTATATATATATGGACAAGATATTCTTTCACCGGTGTAAGAGTTAGAAGTCTTACACTCAATCTTGACCATTGATCTACTTGTATCCAATGGCTCATATTACTAAAAAATTTGAATCATTAGATATAAGTGGGATCAGCGGACAAGATTAAGAGTGTAACTTACACTGGTGTAAAATGATCATAACCCATATATATATATATATATATATATATATATATATATATATATATATATATATATATATATATATATATGGGGCAGGATATTCTTACACCGGTGTAAAAGTTAGTGATCTTACACTCAATCTTAACCATTGATCCACTTGTATCCAATGGCTCACATTACTAAAAAATTTGAGCCCTTAGATATAAATGAGATCAACAAATAAGATTAGAAGTGTAACTTACACTGATGTAAAATGATCCTGACCCTATATATATATATATATATGGGGCAGGATATTCTTACACTAGTGTAAGAGTTAGAAGTCTTACACTCAATCTTGACCATTGATCCACTTGTATCCAATGGCTCACATTACTAGAAAATTTGAGCCCTTAGATATAAATGGGATCAGTGGACAAGATTAAGAGTGTAACTTACACTGGTGTAAAATGATCCTAACCCTATATATATATATATAACAGATCTTACCTAAATCAATTTAAAATTAAACTAGTAACAAAACTGTCTTGAAAGTGAACACATAACAAAAACAAAACAAAACCACGATATGAAGGGATCCGTAGTCTGATAGACGGTATTAATATTATGGGAATTATTATTCTTATGTTGTAGGTGATAGATATCTTATGTCATAGACTCAACATATATGGACTCCATTGATTTAAAAGAAAAAAGAAAAAAGAAAAAAGCAAGCACGGATATCGAAGGGTCAGTAGGAAAAATTTTCTATCTTATGCTGCATGAGATTAACTTAACCCTAATATTATTTGTTTCGCTCAGGCTCTTTTTTATTTTTTGAGGGAAAAATACTTATATATATACATTGAGAGTAATATTTCTAATTTAATATTTTTATATTCACTAACGATTATACGATTCCATGAAGAAAAAAGTTATAGGTTTAGTACAATTAATCCGAAGATTATAATTAAAAGTAATCAAGAGTAGCTGCTAATTGATCTACTCATTTTCTCATTAAATTAATAGCGATGGATTTACACCAAAAAAAGAAAAAAGAAATTAATTAATTGCGATGGATAAAAAGCATACAAACATGAGATGTCTTTTATTTTGTGGATGAAATCACGCAGACTTTGAGGACTTTGACTTCGTCCTCAAATGTCACTCTTAAGGGAAACTGTTACATTAAAGTCATAAGCAACCACTTGGCTATTCCTTTCTCCACCGAACCCAAAAGGGTACTTCTTCTGTTTGTTGGGAAAGAAGAGCCCAAAATGTTTCTCTGATTCTGGGCTCTTCTGATTCTCATCGAACATAGCAAACAAATAAGTCTCTGTAGGCTTGGAAGGCCTTCTTGGAGTACCTTTACTAACATGTCGAATCAAATTATCAAGGTACATGCGTGCATTGTCATATGAAGTAGCAGTTCCTCCATCCGAGGGCCAACCACTCTCCGATACAACAACTTCCACATAACCAATCCTTGTATTATCAATAGCAGCATGCACTGAATCCAACATAGCATCAAACAGGTTTTGATACGCATATTGACCATCCCATACAACAACATTAGGGGAGGTGAAAAGTGCATAGGAAAGAGATATGTCACGCGGGTTACCAACATAGCTAAAATAAGGGTAAACATTAACAAGTAAAGGTGCACTTGCATATAACAAGTAGCCAATGATAGGGTCTAGGTATGACCTAACATCACCCCTAAAGGAACCTTGTGATGGAGGGTAGGAGTTTCCTATTAGGGTCATGTCAATAGATGTTGAAACCTTGATTTGATCATGAAGACCTTGAGCTCTTATAGCTTGGTATATGTTTTGGATTGCAGGTAGAACATATTGGGCAAGCCAAGAAGTACTACTTCCTCCAACTGGACTCACTTCGTTGCCAACTGCAACATACTTGATTTTGACACTTGGATAGAAGTTCAACACGTTTCTTTGCACCCATTGACGTGCATTATCAGCGTTTGTGGCTAGGCTTTGAAGGTCGGAGTTTGGCACACCAAGAATCAGTTCAATACCTGAATTTCTTAGTGCATTTAAAGCATCTTGATTCGGATCATAGATCCTCATTCTCTGGATGTTGTTTGATTTGTAAAGACTTACAACTTCGTTTGCCGGTGGAAGATTATTTCCCATCATACCATAACAAACGCCAATTTGAGCATCTGCTAGCCAAAAAGGCATTATTATATTGTTTGGACTCATTATATTATATGTATAAAACAAGCATATACTATAATTAAGGTATATATTAAGCAATATATGCATTGAGAAAAAATTTGATAGCACTGATTAAGATTGGAAATGGCATTTTATAAATAGAATAGAATATGCTATAATTTATGTATCTAATAGCAAACTGATTAGTTGAGGACTTGAGGCTAACAGACCTGCCATGCGAAGGTCTATTGTCAATACTTCCAATAGAAGCAGAAGAGCAACCAATGAGATCCGGTGGGTTTTCGTGAAGAAAGAAGCCATTATGCAAAATATACGCCACAATACAATCAGCTAATTAGTATTAGCAAATTAGGCAATTTGGCACTGAATCCACACCTTCTCATGCGATCACTTAATATAGAAATGTATATATACAGCTTACATACCATACCATACCTTACCAGAAATTTGAATTATTATAAAAAATATTTATAAAATATCTTGCCGTCTATGTTTACCAATCTAATAATTAATGATTATCCTTTTCTCTAGTGGTCTTTGTCATTGTCACACACATATACATATATATACACGAGACAGATCCTTTGATACTGGTACAAATTAAAAAGTTTGACACCAAATCTTAATTATTGATTTCGTGAATCTAACGGTTATAATTTATTGAGTCATACTTATTAATTATTAATTTTCAATAAATTATAATCATTAGATTGACGGAAATCAATGGTTAAGATTTTTTGGTGTCAAATTTTTTCTTTTGATTTATTAAAAATTAGAGTGAGACCCAATAAATCTTAACCATTAAATATACAAAAAATAACGGTTAAGATTTAATATAAAATTTATTATTCTTATACTTGTGTAAGATGATCAGACACACACAAATAAATAAATATATATATATATATATATATATATATATATATATATCAATTAAATCATTAGTGCCATTTAAGGTTTGAATTAATATTACTGAATATATATAGTTGGACAGTTGGCTATATATCAATTAAATCATTAGTGTCGTTTAAGGTTTGAATTAATATTACTGAATAAATATAGTTGGACAGTTGGCATAGCATTTAAAACATTATTGCAAAACATGAATTGAATTTCGTGTCTAGTTTTAATTGGATATATATATTCAATATTCTTAACTATATGAAAATTCAGGGATGAGTTATTATTATGCTGACAAATATAGATGATTCTTCTTAGTTCAACATTCTTAACTCAAGTAGGATAACACCTAATTATATAAGATCTGATTAAATTTTAATACTATCAAGTGTTTGATATACTATTGTATAAGATAATATATTATATAAAATAATATCATCAAATGTTTGGTAACGCATTGCATAATACTAGATAGGATAAAAATAAATATTTTTGACAAAAATACCTTCATTTTTTTAGTACAAAAATACCTTTTAATAAAAAATTTATATAATTCTTTCAGATATGTCATATGATATTAATTTTTATATAAATCTATTGATCAATAAATTAATTTTTATAAAAATAAAAATCTCCAATATTTTAAAAATTTATATATTGAAAATATATTTTTTATTTTAATATATTAATATTAAAATAATATATTAATTATTGAGAATTACATTGATTAATACATTAACCCCTTATCTTAGCTGACAGCCTTACACATAACCTTTAAGGTATGTGTGCTATAATAATCAGGTTGGACTAAAATCAACAACGATAGAAGCTTATTTACTAATAATTTTTAATTTAATTTATTTTTATTTTCAATAAATAAGAGAATAATGTTATTATTATATATTAGTTTTTATATATAACTAAAGCTAGTGGATAAATCCTTTGGTAAATATTATTAAATTCTAGATCCAAGTAATTGATTTATTGAGAGCCTTACAAGTTACAAGGAAACCCTTTTTTATAATAAGATCACTATATTGTACGGAAGAAGTTATTCATTTTGGAACCAAAAAAAGAAAAAAAAATGGGTGGGTAAGGGGGTTGATACTATATTCACATGCAAATGATTCTCTTTATACTTTTTAATAATAATTTTTATTATGATTTTAAAAATTATCCTCACATGAATTTAATTTGTTCAAATCACATATCAATTAGTGGTCGTTTTATTTGTCTATTTACCTTCAATTATAATTTTGAAATAAAAAAATAATATATAAAACTTTGAACAACTCAAAACTTCAAAGAATAGGAATCAGCAAATCGACGTCTGTCTGTTACAATTACAACTAGCATGACTTCAAGCCAGAGTTTAAAAAAAAAAATAAATGCAAAATTATACATGAAGAGATTATGTGAAACAAGAGCTGTTCAAACGAAGATAAAAAAATATAAAAAATAAAAGGGTAAAATATTGCTCCTGTGCCACAGAAGATAAAGTTATCTCTAGAAATAATCCCAAAATTACGTCATTTTGAAGGTTGAGAGAATTAATAAAGAGTGTTTTGAGAATTTTACTTATTTATTTGTTCTATGAATTTTATTAAAATATCATTCATTAATTCTTCTAGCCTCAAAAAGACATAATTTTGGAGTTGCTGTAGATAACTTTATTTTCTATGATAGGAGAAACTATAAACTCTAAATAAAATATTGGTATTATCTATTAATTAATTAATTTAAGAAAAATTGTAAATAGTGTAATATTAATATATATATATATATTCAAAATAATCTTTAAAAAATATTATTATTAAAAGGAACTTTTTAATCGTAATAAATTACTTTCACAATAATGTTTGTAAATTTTCTGTTCCAAGATTGGAAAAGTCAAAAGCGCGCAAGAAATAATTAGGGCCTACTTTTTTCCAATCTTAAAAAAACAGAAGTCATAACAAAAATCAAAAATTTATTTTTTTAAAAAGTTAAAAATTTTAGCTTTAAAAAAAAGCAGAAGTCAAAAGTCAAATATTTTTTTCAAAAATTAAATATTTTTAAAAAAATCTAAATAGCTATAACTTTTATAGAAAGTACTTTTAAAATAAGAAAGTGATAAAAAGAGCTTTTTTAAAAAGTCAATACAAACGTACCCTTAAAAAGTTATGAAATTTCTACTGTTGTGGGGATTTTATGGAAAACGTCCTTATTTGAGCAAAACAAACCTTAATGTATATACAAGCAATAGTTCTTATCTATTAGGGTCTGTTTGGAGAATCTGATAAAGAAGATAAGATAAGATAACTTATCATATTCTACTTTTATCTCGTTTTTAGTGGGTCAATAGGATATGATTAGCTTATCCTATTATCTCATTTTATCCTATTCAATACATGATTTTTTATCCTATAAGGAAGAGCTGAGTTAGGATTCAAGATATCAATATTGAATACTCAATATATCCTCACGCTATCTAATATATTTGTATTTATTATATTATATTTTGTTTTTTTTTTCTTCTACATAATCTTATCATATTGCTAATCAGGTGCTTATTAAACACATGATATGATATAGACTTATCAATTCCATATCATATCTTATCCTTATCAGTTTCATATCATATTCTATCTTTATCCTATTCTGTGTGCGCGAAACAAACGAGCTATGGTTAGAATAGTCAACTCATTGGGAATGCATGCACTTACAAAACTCATAATTATTTAAAGCTTTTTTTCCTATGAACTGCCTGCCACTTGCTAGTAAGGGGACCACTTTTACTAGAAGATCACTAACGTAGAGTTTGGTTTTTCTGGAAAAGCGTGACGATGTTTCTATGAACGTACATGGTCAACTTGGATGGTATGTACTAAACAATGTTATATATAAATGACACCATTTGTCATGTATCCTTAAATGAATTGATATTCCTATCAACTAGTTTTTCGGCGGTCATTAAAAATGCAATTGGCTTTTCTAAATGATGCTACCGGCTGCTGCACGGTATGAGTGGACTTGAATAATTGAACATGTGAAAGAGAAACTCAACGTAAGAAAAAAAAAAAAAATTAAAAGATATCCATAGAATTATATATACGATATCTTTTTGAATGAGAAAGACAGCAATGAAAAGCAGCCATTACCCAAGGATTAAGATTGTCCTCCCTTTAGAAATGTAACAAGTTCAAATAATACGCGTGATCAATGTTTTCAAGTATAAGTGGATAGTTAAGAAAATTTAATACTTACATGTTCTAAATAAATTTTATGTATTCATAATCCAATCAATTACATTTGCTGAAAGGAATGTGATTTTTTTTCACTCATCTATTATGTCAGCCTCATGTATCATTTAACACCCCGTATCAATGGTATTAAGCGCAACTAATTAATCAAATAAATACAGAAGTTAAACTCATTAAATTGTAATCATTACTTGCATGTCAAGTTAAGTGCATATTATTATGATTTTTTCAACTCTCTTACTTACAAATTATATATATACTTACTTACATAATTCATAATCTATGTCTTACAAGAGAATGTTGTTTAGTTTAATGTCTTCTCTTAGCCATTGGTTACTCCATTTTACCTACTTCATTCTTCATATTTTCACACGCCAAATTAAGGCATTACAATTCTTTTTAACATACATCTTTCTCTACATAAATTTCTTTATGTCTTAGTTAATAAGGGTGATCCTTATAAACCTTAATGTCGCACTTAGAACATACATTTCTTGTTATCTAAGTTATCATATTACTTAGACCCTTGGCATAATATATCTTCTTAGCAATCCATTAACTAAGTTATTTATTCCCTGCAACTTTACTAAATTCACTAATTTTCTAGTCATCCATTACATAGGCTTCACATTATATAATCTCTATCTCAAGACATTCATACATTCAACAAATATGAACCATATCGCCTAGCAAACCATGGCATAGACGTTATGTTGTGATCACGGCAAGTATACCGGTCGTACAAGTAATAAAGTATGAGTAGAGTATCGTCCCACGAGGATTAATGCACCAAATACTATTTTTGATATTCCCTTTAATTTGGACAAATCAATT